AAAGAGTGTTGCTGGTACAGTCTATACCTTGAAATATGGAGGATCAGAACATACTCCCAGGGCCCTCCCCTTTCTTCCTGTCCAACTAATGAACTTTTACAGAAATTGCTTTAAACCAATCGATTTGAGCAAGTCTCTGGAGGTGAGTGGGAAGCATTTGTACTGTATTGAATTCAGGAAAGATATAAAATAGGCAATGTACTGGTTTGGGCAGCCCGTCTGCTTCTCATCTGCTGAAGTACGGGCTCAATTTCTCGCACCTGCTTGGAACTTCTGGGCACAATGATAAGCTTAATGAGCCTTAGAGATAAAAATACCTCCTAATAATATATCTACGAACCAGATAATTCTGTTTTCAGAACACTTATATTTCAAACACAATAATGAGAAACAGGAGGCATTCTTCAGTTTCCAGTTTCTCTATACTGACTTCACTTTCTTCTTTAAAAAATAGATTATAGAAAAAGAATTCCATACATATAATTTTCTTTATTTTTTTCCACCAATATATCAGTGAATGAAAGAAAATCTACGATAACTTAATTTTGTAGATCCAGGCTATTTTACTTCTTTTTTTTTTTTTTGGATGCACACAGGTATTTCAATGAGAGTGCACAGAAAAGATAATTTGAAGGAAGAGGTATCGCAGTGCGAGAGCATAAAGAGAAACCGTTATTGTAAAAGACAGCTGGCGTGTCATTTCTTAAATCCCCTACGTGCTACCATTACACATACTGCAACAGCACGATAATCCACAATGAATTATAAGGAGAAATCCCATTCGTCCCACAAGTAAAGAACAGAGCAGATACCTTATAACAGATGATCTTTCAAGATCTTTCCTAACTTATGAGAAATACAAGTTGTATTCTGGATTTTTTTAAAATGTCTATCTTGACGTATCACTCTCTGGGGACCCTGCTGCACCACAGTCCACACATTATCTTAGTTGCTATTCATTCTAACTCATCCTGTAACGTTCCTTACAAATGCAGACTATTAGGAAGATATATGCTCCCAAGCAGCTTCATTCCACCGAATATCTGGCAAGGGTAATGGAGAACTTTAAATGAGCGTAGGGCATTTCTCAAATCATTTAAAATACATATTTCTTTAATTCAAATCACCCAAGACCTTGGGTACCTATCCTCTATGATCTACTTGCAAAACAAAGCACTTTTCACCAGATGTTACACCAGATATTTCAGTCTGCAGTGTTGATCGTCCCTCCGTTATCAGAAAATATTTCAATAATTAAAATGAAACAGCTTTTTGAAAACAATGGAAATATACAGCAATGCTGTACCTGCAACATGAGAACTGGTCAATAACACATCGCTAGGATCATCTTAGGATGAATGTGAAGCTTTTGCTTGCTTTACCTCAATACTGCGGTGGTTTCCATTAAAAAATAAGTATTTGCCAAGGGCTAATTCACTGTGACCCTCAGACTAGAAAATAACTGCGATATCTCAAATAAGAGAGGGAGATAATCTTTGCAAATACCGATTTTTTTAATCATTCCCTTTTCTCATTTGAAATTCATAGGAATAGAAAATATTGGAAAGGACCTACATAAATGTACAGTTTGAGGAAGCTGGAAGAAGAGGAGTAGGATGAAGTCTTTTTTTGTTGCTCTGTTGACTGTCATTTCTGTCATCAGACTTTCCATCCTAGTTTCTCATGTTTCAAATTAGGGACAGTAAAACTAATACATCTTCATAAGCACTTTAAGAACTACAAATGTAAAGTGTTGTGTGGAATAAATGTTTTTATTATTAATCCAAAATCAAGTGCCTTTTTCAAGAAATTCTTCATTGTTGCTAGGTGACAACAGCATAGTCTGCTATCATATCATTTACAAAATGCAAGTTTTTGCAAGCAAAGAAATAAGAAGTTAAGGACATCATAAATCTTGTTCTGCCTACATAATAAACAAACATATTATTCACACGCACCAAAAAAGCATATTTCACTGTGTAACAGTCTTAAGTCTAATCTGTGGATTTGTTATTAAATGTTTTTTATGATGTCAATTTTGGCGCCTGGTTTTCCTGAAGTGATACTAAGTCACTTCTGTATTGCTCATATTCATTTTTCTGTTGGCATATCTTGGTAATTAGACTGAGATGCACTTTAACAAAGTATGCTATTTGTCATATTCACTTATAAATGCCTCTGGACTTTCCTGAAACTAAATGCAGAGTTACTTTCACTGTCTACTTGAGGCTGGAACGGACAACTAGGGTAGGTCCTTGCCTATATTCGGCTAGCTATTTAAGGAATGTACAGTCTTTGAATTGCACCAAAATTAAATGTCTAAAATGCCCTAAATTGCATAGTGAAGGAATGCCACTATTTTAACCTTATATATATACAGGCGTTTACAACCGTTGCGTTCAGTTTATATGTGGACATTCCATCAGTGTTCGGAGGACAAGGAACTTTAGGCTCATTTAATGAAAAAATGTAAGGTTGATAAGGTCTATGTATCTTCCAGTTCATTGGCTTTTCAAAATATTCAGAATCTGTAAAACGTCTGTCAGATGAGGATGTTCTTTTACTAAAAACATCATCTGGATTAAAAAAAAAAAAACATTATTTTTGTTTACTACTAAGGAGTTATATTCTTAAGGAATTGAGAAGGAATATTATGTTAGATAACTCTGCCAAACTATAAAATACCATTTAAAGTCTTCTAGTCACTTTGAGGAAAGATTTTGGACTTGAAAATGCATCACCTGCAAGAAACATAAGAGTTTGTGAGCAACAGTGCAACAGTAACTGATTTCACTGATGGCAACCCACTGTATGCAAGCAACTCTTCATAACTTCAGTCATTGCCTTGGTCTCTGAAAGCATTTGTGGATGACAGTGAGCCACCAGAGAATATACTCACCATCAGCCTTTTCTTCTGTCAGCTTCAATCACTGAGAATTGTGTCCAGTTTTCAAATAATGGAATTTAAAAAACATTTTACTATGCCTGTCCT